AGGAGCAGGGAGAGGAGGTGAGCCACAGGCTGTTCAGTCTCTCTGAAGAGCAGAATTCCACCTTAACCTTTGAATCTGGAGTTCTTTAGAGGGACAGAGGTTTGGTTACGTTCCCTTTGTTCCCTTCTAGTCAGAGTAGAGGGGACAGTTCCCTCAGGCCAGGGTGCTCTCGGGCTAACCGCTGCTGGGGCTAACCGCTGCTGGTAGCGGTGGAGTTGCAGTTGCTGATTCGGACAGCCGTGGCTTTAAAGGCAGCAACAGTTCAGTAAAAGGACAACAGGAACGTAGGGCAAACCGAGGACGCTGGCCTGTGAGTGCCAGCTGTGGAGGGACCAGAGGCGGTGCTCCCACCGGAAGGAATGACGCCGAGAGCTGTGCCGACAAGTGGCCTGGGCAAAGACTAAGCAGACATTTTTTTTTTTTTTAAAGATTTATTTATTTATTATTATGTATACAGTGTTCTTTCTGCATATATCCTTGCAGGCCAGAAGAGGGCACCAGATCTCATTATAGATGGTTGTGAGCCACCATGTGGTTGCTGGGAATTGAACTCAGAACCTTTGGAAGAACAAGTAGTGCTCTTAACCACTGAGTCATCTCTCTAGCCCCAGACATTCTTCTTTCCAGGGGGGTAGAAGGAAGGATGTCTCTAACATCCGTGAGCCCTGTTCTGAGGCTGAGGCTGTATACTCAGTAGAATGGAAGTTGCTATGGCACCCGCATGAACAGTGCTCACTAGGTTTCTTATAACTAGTTCTTTCTGCATACATGACTTAATACTTGGGATGAATGTGCACTGGCTGGGCTGCAGACCACACCTGCCTTCACTGACTATTTTTTGAGAACTTGTGTTCAGTTTCCATCTCTGTTTCAGGGACCCCCACCGCTGTATGTGTTAGTTTAAAAAGAAATTATACATACTTACTGTCTGTGTATGTATGTAGAGGTCAGAGGACAACTTGTAGGGAGTAGTTTCTTCCACCATGTAGGTCCTTTGGATTTGAACTCGGGTTGTCAGGCTTGGCAGCAATGAACCTTAACAATTGAGTCATCGCCACTGGCCTCAGTCTGTTAAAAGTTTATTTTATGCATATGGGTGTTTTGGTGTTTTGTCTGACTGTATGTCTATATACCACATGTGTGCAGTGCCTTTGGAGGCCAGAAGAGGGCGTCAGATTCTGTGGAACTGGAGTTACAGATGGTCATGAGGCACCATATGGGTGCTGGGAATCAAACCTGAGTCCTCTAGAAGAGCAGCCAGTGCTCTTAACCACTGAGCTGTCTGACCAGCCCCATGTGTTACATTTTTAATATATTTTTGTCAGAGTTTTATTCTCTGTATGTTGTGTAAAGTCGCTGAATTGTTTATGTTTTTTTTCATTATCATTTCCGCTTTTGGTCTAGTGTGGTAGCACATTCCTGTAACTCGAGAACTTGGGAGATACAGGTAGGAGGATCAGGAGTTCAAGGTCATCCACAGCTACATAATATTTGAAGCCAGCTAGGGCTTCTTGAGGCCTGTTTCAAAAAATAAAAGCCAAGCTTGTTAGCATACACCTTTAATGCTAGTGCTGGGGGGACAGAAGCAGGCAGAGATCTCTGTGAGTGAAGGCTAGCCAAGTCTACATGCCTGTCTCTCAAGTGCTGGGAGACACTTACAGGCATGCATCACCACCACCCCTTGTGAGACCCTATCTTTAAAAAAAAAAATTAAAAATTTGTCATCATCTGTTAGAAATAAATAAAATTGTTTGGTGGTGGTGGTGGTGGTGGTGGTGGTGGTGGTGGTGGTGGTAGTGGTTGGTTTGCTGCACTGTGCCCAGCTAGAATTCCTTTGTGTGTGTGTGTGTGTGTGTGTGTGTGTGTGTGTTGCTATATGGTTTAATTTTACTTTGTGCATCATCTTGGTACAGGTGGAAATGTGGTTTTGTTTGTCCAGGTCTCCTCACCTCTCAACACAGTGATGTTGTTTGGATCTAGGAAAAGACTCTGTGGTCATGAAATCCGCTGTAGTTTGTTCTTCAGGGTCAGTACAAGTGACAAGTGTGCTGCCAGAACGGAGCCTGAGCTCCAGACTCCAGGAGGACACAACTCAGGTCTGAGTGTGCACTGAACATTGCAGTCCTGCTGGGTCGAGGTGTGAGCCTGGGCTCTGGATATAGGTGGACTTGCTCTTTAGTATTCATTCCTTTGGTTCTACTGTCTACTACATCTTGGGTTAACGAATTATTGAAGGATAGTGCCTGTGACGTGTGCAGTTGGAGCCAGGCAGACTAGGGCATGCAGGATCCAACCTGGCAAATGTCTGAGAAGCACCAGCTGTTGCTTCTGTGGCCTCAGCAGGCACCCTGCAGATGTTATGTGGGTGGGGCTTCCTTGTCCCACAAGAAGTTGTGTTCTGAGTGCTTCACAGGCAGTACTGCTGGGCTGTCCTACCAGTCGTTAGTGGAGCAGCAACTTCTCTAAAGCAGGGTGACACAAATTAGTCACCCACCCAGCCACAGAGCCTATGTTGGCTGGGTGATAACAAAGACACCAGTATCTGTGTTTCTTTTTCATGTCAAGATTATGGCACCCGTGCTTCCAGACATGGCCTGCGGTAGGCAGTGAGGCATTGGGGACCATGATGTCTCACTCTCCCTTGTCTTGCTCCAGGTGCAGATAAAACTGCTGACACTTTGGCAGCTGTCAAACTTAGAATTAAGATGTCTTCCTCCTAGTGTATTCTGTCTGACATTTGCTAAAGCCCATAAAAAGTAAGTGCCTTTAAAATGGTGTGTAGGGCTAGGGATTGGCTGGCAACAGCACTGAGTGAAGGCATGGGAGAGGTAGAAGTTAGCTGGCTTTCCCGTAGGGAAAGTGGGGGCTACAGCACCTTTATTTCTGTGGTGAGAAGGAAAGGCACAGTTGGGTAGTTAAACTTGAACGAGAATAGCACAACACAAAGCAAGGATGGGGGCATTTAACAAGAAGAATCCCTGGAGGGGAAGAGTGAAGTGAACAGGTGCTGGAAAAATGTTTCTGCATATTAGAGCTTAATTAGATTTGAAGATGAATTCCAGATGGGCTAATTATATGTGAGTTGTTGCAGGTTATTTCTTGTAGGGGCAAGCATGTATTTTTGGAAATGGTGATTCAGTTTGATTGGGCTTGATTCCTGCCTCCTACCCTGTCTCCATCAAGACACTGTCTCTCAGAGGCCTGAGATCCCCTCAGTAGGCCCACATCTTTGGGACCCGCTGTCATACATAACAGAAGCAGAATGTAGAGGCCGTCCTGGCCCTATGATCACATGTGTGGGCAAGAATGAGTGACCTTTCCCCAGTTAGTGGAACGTCACCCTCACAGAAAGCAGGAAGAGCATAGTAGGTATTGTGGGAGCATGATCCCTGCTGGTTTGACATGAAGATGAAATTAAACCCCACACTTTTCACATAGGTACTACATAGATAGATAGATAGATATACAGCTTCCTTAGTAGGGCAGAGGGCAAGTCTTTGTTGGATCCTCTGCAAGTGACAGACAGGAAACGGGACTAGTGTGGCCAATGATGTCCTGTTAAGATGATGGCCTTGACTTGAGAATAGCTTGCAGTAATTGTCTCAAAGGATGGCCTGGCTCTCTGAGGGTCTCTGAAAGGTGTGGATGTGCTGGGAGTGGCCTTATGGCACACCTTGGGAACATATGGTTGGCAAACAGTTCGGGTCTGAGGGCTTCAATAAACAAACTTTTATGTAAGGATCTATAATTAGAAATTATGGACACATATTTTATATACAGCTCATGAATGACTCATAATGTTAAGTGATGATTTAGATAGAAAATATGACTCCTCTTGTAGGATCTTTTAATAAAAAGCATCATTTCTTAGGAATTTATTTCTAGAGCTCTGTTTGAACTCAGCATGTTTGACATAAATCAGATCTAATTGTCATTTTATGATTAATGAACATATGTTGGCCATTTTTCCCCATAATTAAACTTTATGTTCTGTGCATCTGACAAAGCAAAACAGGTTTAGACTTTGACATATTGGTGGTGGTGGTGGTGGTGTGTGTGTATACACATACACCTTTTTGTATATGCCTTTATTTTGTATATGTACTAAGCTTTTACAAAGTCCAGTTTTCAGAAGTGCAAGTTTTTTTATTTATTTAATTTTATTTTATTTATTTTTGGTTCTTCAAGACATGGTTTCTCTGTCTAGCTCTGACTGTCCCAGAGCACACTTTGTAGACCAGGCTGGCCTGGAATTCAGATCTGCCTGCCTCTGCCTCCCAAAGGCCTATGCCACCGCCGCCACCACCTAGTCAGAGGTGTAAGATTCTTAAGATGAGACTTTGAGTGTTTGTGGAGAGACAGAGTCCAGTCTGAAGAACCTTCAGGTTGTTTTCACTGCTCAACCATCTGTGGTGCCAGGTTAAGCTGGGATGGGTGCGTAGTATATTCCCTCTTAAGAGGTGCCCAGGAACTTTTTCAGGTCATGGCCATAATACAAAGTTCTAAGAAACAATGAAACAATACAGGGAAATAGTTGCAAAAATATGTAGATTTTCCTTTCTGCCTTTCATTTATGCACTTCAACAAAATAATAATCTTTCTTTTTTTTGTCTTAGAGATAGGTCTCTCGTTTAGGAACTCACTTAAGTAGACCAGGCTGGCCTTGAACTCACAGAGATTTTCTTACCTTGCTTCCCAAGTGCTGGGATTAAAGGTGAGTGCCACCATGCCTGGCTAAATCATAATATCTTGAAAGAGCCAGGCATAGAGATGTGCACCTGTAATTCTAGCCCTGGCAAAACAGAGTTAGGATTGCCACAAGTTCAGTGCCAACCTGGTCCACATAGTAAGTTCTATCCAGGTCAGTCTGAGATGTTGTTATAAAAAATAATAATAAAATATTATTTTAAATAATAATTTAAAAGTTGAAATACTGGTGTGAAAAGAATACTGTCACTGTTCACCTTCACTCACCTGATGTTGACATTTGATTGTTTCAGGACATAGACAAGTTTGGCAATGAGATCACCCAGCTGGCCCGTCCCCTGCCTGTGGAGTATCTGATTATAGATGTAAGTACTCTTTTGTACTCAAACTCACTGGCTGGTACCATAGCCCCCTTGAAGGCCAGACTCCTGGGTGGTGGCCATTTGTGGAAGGAAGCCAGGGAGATTTGAGTCAGTGCTCTTGTTTCAAGGATTGTTTCTTGATTATCAATCCCCATTTTTCCAGAAACTGCACGGTTTCAACAAACTAGGGATTAAACTTTCCTCGTGCTGAAGTGTAAACAAAGGACACCTGCCTACAGTGCCACCCTGTGGCCTCTGGAAGGCAGGGTTCATGGGGCTGAGCGTCAAGGGTATCTGAATGGTTCTATATATGTAGCTGCCCTCTGCCCAGGAGGTAACAGATGTTGTCCTGCCTAACCCAGCAGTAGTAGTCCTGGGGGCCACTCCATTAAGAGTTTCCTGGGGACACATCCATAACTTAGTGCCTGTGAGTAGTGAGGACCAGTGTTGTTTCTGGGCACACCTCCAGAAGGTGAGAGGAGCCAGCTCTGCTGCTGCTTCTGAGTCTCTCTTCCTTTCTAGAAAAATCTGATGGTTGCAGAGACATATTCATGCCATTGGCCACAGGGCAGTGAATGCTACAGGACATAGCAGCTGGAGCATCATTGCCTGCTGGTGTTCTGGGGTGGGTTGGAGATGGCTGATTTTCTACATTACTGCTGTTCCAGAATATCTATTCCGGCTGCATTTGGCCTTAGGATGGGTATATAATTCAGGCAGTAAAATATCATTGCATTTGGAGCAGTGAGTCCCCCTGAGCCTAGCCCATAGCTGCTCCATTTCAATTGACAGCTCCTGAGAACATATTTATTACCTAGGCCATAAAGGCATCTGTTTTTATACTACCTGGGGTGTAATTAAGATGAAAACAGATTGATGGAGGAGTCAGCATGATTTAGAATAAGCTTCTTAGCTAATCCCTTCCCTTTACCTCCCCACCCCATCCCCCCGTCCTCGCCCCCAGCACTTCCCCACACCTTTCAGCATCACTGGGTTGCTGGGGAACCATTTACCCTATAGTATCCGTGTTCTCTGTCCCTATGAAGATGAGGCCTGGGAGAGTCTTAGAGTGGGTGCCCAAAGAGTGCTTTTTGGCCCTTTCCCTGGTTCCAGAGATAGTACAGATCTGGACCCGGGCTGTCTGTATCCCCCCCCCCTTTTTTTTTTTTTTTTTTTTTAAAGACAAAGTCAAACTATATAGCCTTCACTGGCCTCAAAGTTGTAATCTTGCCTCTACTTCTTCAGGGCTGGAATTAGAGGTATGAACCACCATGCGGCTTTTATTGTTGTTATTTGTTTGGGGTTTGCTTTTGTTTTGTTTTGGTTTGGTTTTTGTTTTTTGAGACAGTGTCTCATTTATGTAGCTCTAGCTGTCCTGGAAATCACTGTAGAACAGGCTGTCCTTGAACTCACAGAGATCTGCCTGCTTCTGCCTCCTAAGTGCTGTGATTAAAGATATAAGCCACCCCACCCAACATACCTTCTGTTCTTAAATTTGAGAATATGATAACTGTATCACAGCAAAGATTTTGCATACTGAGTCATCCCAAGCCCTGGGATGGCTATTTCATAAACCCAGGACAGTCTGAGCAGGGATGGCCTTCAGCACATGAAGAGAAACTAGATCCCTAGAGTGATCCCCTGGAGCTACCACAGACTTTGATTGTGTTGCTCTCCAGGGTCTCCTGCAAGGTGAAATACTCCTCACCCTTTAGAGATTTGAATGCATAGCATTGTATATACTAAGCAAGCACACTGTTACACCCCTGTCCCTTTTTGTTCAGGTTTTCTTTATTTTGAGATAGGCTCTCCCTTAGTTGTTCAGCAGCCCTCAAACTCAGAATCTCTTGCTTTGGCATCTTGAACAACTGGGTTGGTTACAGCTGTGTACCACAAGTAACTCTGGATTACTGGTAAATTCTAGCAAATACTCTGCAGCCACCCTTCCATTCCTGCGTGTGCCTACCCAAAAGCAGAGACTTGAGTATCCCCAGGCTTTTGCTTACAACTTGACTATAGTCCTTGTGTCTGGTGTTCAGACGTGGCTGGGACTGTGTTGTCAGTGCCGCACTCAGTGCTTCTGTGGGAACCACTCCCACCATCTGCCTCTCAGATGGGAACCTGGGCCGTATGGCCAGCCCACGGCTCGGGTCTGTAGACTTGGCCTCACTGCTGCAAATGCTTGTCTGTAAAGGACCAGCCATCTAGGATGCATCTGGTGGTTCAGCTTGTCCTTATAGAGTGCTGACATTGGCACAGCTGAATCCAGAAATAGCCCTCTGCCTTTGCTGATGTAGAAAACAGATCACAGCGACCAGAGCAACGTTTTTATTCTTTAGAAATAGTCCCACGGGAGTTAGAATAGCTGTTCTATATCTGGAAGGGGTGTGACCCGGCGATGCTCGTGTGTGCAGAGAGAAGTACGTCAGACACAAGTGGTGGTGGCTTGCACGTAGGTGCTCTTGTGGGAAGGGCCTCTGCCAAGAGGAGTAAAACCTGTGTTTGTGTTGATCCTGCACACTCACCAGTGACCCCGGGGCTCCTATTGATATGTGTTAGATTTAAAATGCCCTCTGCCATGAACTCAAGCATGCTGGGGTCAGAGAATCGGCTCACCTCTGGTCAGTCTTGACTTAGGTCCCTCGCCTTGGAGGAAAACAGCGCCCAGGACTCTCAGTCCTGCCTGCGGAAACTGGTTCTCACGAAGGGCCTCTTAGAGACTCTTGGAGGTAACTGGTGTTTCTCGGGCCCACACTGATGACTCCACACCTGCCACCAAGCCTGGTGTTGAGTCTTTTATGCCTTTAGTCTGTCTCTTGCCTTCTCCGTTCCTTTCTGTAGCTCCCTGACTTGCCCAGGATGAACTGGCATTGGACATCCATAGCAAAGTGAGTGCAGTGGCGCAAGCCCGACAGTTAGGTGTCGTGTGAGCCCCGAACAGAGCCAGTCTGCCCAAGTGTTGGCACTTGTAAGATACATTCTTTAGTTTGTTTCCCAGAGTCTGGGTTTATTATTTGAGGATGACACAGTTTCCTGTTCCCTTCAACACGTAGCTTGTCGTCTCAGAAGGTCTGTCTGGACAGCTTGTACAGGCAGAGTTCCCGTCCTGTTTCTGGAACATGGTCATAGTATGTTTTTTTTGTTCTTTAGATCACAACCACCTTCCCCAAGGATCCAGTTTACACTTTTTCTATTTCGCAAAATCCGTTTCCTATTGAAAACCGGGATGTGCTGGGTGAGACACAGGTAAGCTCTTTGTTTTAGAGACAAAATTTAAAGGAACTTCTGATTGTCTTATTTTCCCCAAAAGTGCCATTTTCACACTCCCTTGGTTCATTTTCTGGCAAGTCCCATGAGGCCCTGTTCTGAGTATTGTTGGTTACTTGGATTCCCTTTTTTCACCAGGTAATAGATAACCATGCTTAAATCCCCTGAAGCCCTGGGCCTATAGACTTGCCAGAAATCCATTCTCACTTGGCTTTTTAGCGTTTCCAATACTGTTCATCACTGTTTGTTGTCTACCAAGCTTTCTTTGTCTGTTGCTGTCCCGTGCAGTAGAGCACTGCAGACAGTCTCCCTCCCTGTTGGTCTGCCCTGCCCTTGCTCTCTGTTTGAGTTTGCGAGGTCCATCAGGACTCTGGTGGCATGCGGTGTTGATGGGCTTTGTTGCTCATATCTCCTCCTCTGTCCTTTGCTTTAACTACAGAGCCACCTGACCTGAGTTGCCATTACTGTCTAGTACAGACAGTCTGTGTACTTAGTTGTTTTTAGGCTGTACCAATACTTCAGAATATGAGTTGCCTGAGGAATAGCCATACATAACATTTACTTTTGTTGTGGTTCCTTGAAACCTATCTATCCATGGATGTCAGATGCTTGTGGGACACTGCCACTTACTTGGCAGACCTTTGAAATGTTCACAGTGATCCTCTTGCTTGTGTCTAGTTGTTTAAAAGCTACCCTCACCAGGTGTGATGGCACACGTCTTTAATCCCAGCACTCAGGAGGCAGAGGCAGGCTGATTCTGTGAGTTCAAGGCCAGCCTGGTACATATAGTTCAAAGACAGGGTAGGTAAAGGGGTGTTTTCTGTTTATCTGACCAATGTCTTTTTTTGTTTTTTTGTTTTTTTTTTGTCTTTTTTTTTGGTTTTTCGAGACAGGGTTTCTCTGTGTAGCTTTGTGCCTTTCCTGGATCTCACTCTGTAGACCAGGCTGGCCTCAAACTCACAAAGATCCGCCTGCCTCTGCCTCCCGAGTGCTGGGATTAAAGGCATGCGACGATGACGAAGCCACCACCCGGCCTGTTTATCTGACCAATGTCTTGAATCTGGGCCGCTTAAATACCTGCTTCCTTATATACCTGGGTCAGATGTGCTGAGGGCTTCCACTGGGCAGCAGAGTCACACTAGCCTTGTAGCTCTCTGTGCCTCTTCTGGACTGCCTTGGTGGTCACTGAAACAGGATAATGTGTTTCTGCTATTTAATGTGCCTATGTTTAGTAAGAGGCAGCACTCTTTCTTGGTTTAGTGGTAGGGATTTGTGATAAAACATTAATTTTTTCCCCCTTTCTTTTGACTCTTTCCTTAGGACTTTCATAGTTTGGCCACTTACTTGTCCCAGAATACCTCATCCGTGTTCTTGGATACCATCTCTGACTTCCATCTCCTGCTGTTTCTGGTCACCAATGAAGTCATGCCACTGCAGGTACAAGCTCTGCTGCCCTCTTGCTTGCTTTCCTCAGATCCCAAGGACTGGGGTGAAGCTTAGTGTCAAGAGATAGCTGCCCCATGCCCAGTGTGTGAGAATGTACAGGCCACAGCACTTCACAAGGGAACTTCACTGTTGATGGAGATGTTGGATCTTTAGCCTCTGTGGTGTAGGACAATTGAGTTGTTTAAAATCGCCTGGAGAGCAGAGGGAAATGAGGTCTGTCCTCTGGTCTGGAGCCTTAGGCATCCTGCAGTCCAGACAGTCCCTGTTGCACAGCCTCAGAGCCAATGCCTTTGCTATTTCCTGATGCCGTCTCTGCTTATGAACCAGGACTTTTTTTTTTCCCCTCAAGACAGGGTTTCTCTATGTAGCTTTGTGCCTTTCCTGGGACTCACTTTGTAGACCAGGCTGGCCTCGAACTCACAGAGATCCACCTGCCTCTGCCTCCCGAGTGCTGGGATTAAAGGCGTGCGCCACCACCGCCTGGTGAGCCAGAACATTTTATGGCCTGAGCCCAGAAGGTTTGGCCAGTTTCCAGGTCCTGCATACACCATTGCACAGTTGGCATTTTTAAGATACACAAGGAAAATGACTGAATGTTTTGCAGATGGTAGATGCTCTCTAAACAGGGCAAGGCAGCAGGTCCCCCAGGAATCCTGTGTGTATGCCTTGGGCATCGACAGCATGAGTGTTCTTTTTCTGTGGCCTTTCTTTACCTGAGATCCAGGGAAATGCCAGAAAGATAAGAACAAGTCTCTCTGAACTTGATGGCACTAACTCAACCTCTTTCCCTAGGAGGACAAAATAGAGGCCTCACTCCCAGGATATTTCCATCCAGCAGCTTGTAATTATCCTTTTATCTGGCTGGGTTTATATACGTCATAGTATATACTCATTAACATGTCCACCACCCAGTATGATACTCTCCATGAGGGACCCTGGTTTTCCTGGTTGTGGTCAGCCTTCTGGATTCAGGGTAAACCCTCTGTCTGAGCTGGGCGGTGGTGGCGCACGCCTTTAATCCCAGCACTCGGGAGGCAGAGCCAGGCGGATCTCTGTGAGTTCGAGGCCAGCCTGGGCTACCAAGTGAGTCCCAGGAAAGGCGCAAAGCTACACAGAGAAACCCTGTCTCGAAAAACAAAAAACAAAACAACAAAAAAAACCCTCTGTCTGAATACAAGGTGACAGAAGGGTCTGTCTGCATCAGGACCACCTTTCTATCCAGCATGACTGTGTTTGCAGTTACCTAATAGAAAACATTGAGAGGTACTGAGAGCCCTTGATAACATTGTAGAGACTTCTCTCTGTATGTTGACCCCCCAACATACAGGCTATATATACAAGGCTATATATAGATAGTTTACGGGCACGATGGAGAAGAACAAAAGCAGAGGGCCGATTGTGAGGGAGGGTAGGTCTTACAGACGTGGGCTCCTCCTGTTAAACTGTCTCTAGGACCTAAGTATGTGTCTTCTTTGTTGTGGGGGCTATGTGAGAAGAAATTAAGTTTTAGTTAACTTTAGCATTTAAATGTATTTATTTAATACCTTTCTCTCTCTCTCCATACTGGGGATTGAACCCAGTGCTTTAAACATTAGGCAAGCACTCTGCCACTAAGTTGAATTCCCAGTTAGATCTAACACATCTTGCATTTTGTAGTGACAGCTTCTGAGATTATTTTCAATTTTCTTTGAAAGATGTTATTGATGTTAAGGGAAAAAAAATAGTAAGAGTCTTTTCCCCTCAGTCAGAGCAAAGTGGAACCTTTGTTGTGACTTCTTACAGGACAGTATCAGCCTGCTGCTAGAAGCCGTGAGGACCAGAAATGAGGAGCTAGCACAGACATGGAAAAAATCTGAACAGTGGGCCACCATTGAGCAGCTTTGCAGTAAGTGTCCTCTCTTCCCCTCTGCCAGGGGCATGAGCTCTGTCATTTAAACCCTGGACTTCTAACCCAGCTCCCTCCTTGAAAGGGGCAAAGGGACAAACACAGGCAGCCCCATGGCTGGGTATATGTCATGGTTGCTGATGTGGCCACATACTATCCAGGCTGTGATCCTTGGGTTTGTAGAGTTTTATGCTGTGATTATATGCTCCAGCTAGATCCTTGGTCTGAAAAGGTATTTGTGAGCACCTTGTGTGTCGCTGTCCCCCACTTCAGTGTGGTAACAGGACAGTTCCCAGTGCTGCGGGCGACAGGGTCTGCACTCCTGTGTTCATCAACCCAGCTCCTAAAAGTCCACGTCTGACTGTCCAATCCTATGCACAAGATCGGTGGTGAGAACAAAGTACTGTTTACAACAGTGTCACAAAACAAGACGCCAGGCTGTGCATGGTGTGCACACCTTGGATCCCAGCACTTGGGAGGCAGAGGCCAGCCACAGAGTGAGTTCCAGGGCAGCCAAGGCTGTTATACAGTAAAACCCTGTCTCAAAAAACAAGGCCAGGTAGTGGTAGTGCACACCTTTAGTCCTAGCACTTGGGAAGCAGAGCCAGTTTTTTCTAGTTTTTCGAGACAGGGTTTCTCTCTAGTTTGGGTGCCTGTCCTGGATCTCACTCTGTAGACCAGATTGGCCTTGAACTCACAGAGATCTGCCTGGCTCTGCCTCCCGAGTGCTGGGATTAAAGGCGTGCGCCACCACCACCCAACTGGCATGCTTTATACTTATCAACTCTCCTGGTGTCATGGTAGCTCCAGCGTAGAACTTACCTAATACATACAAGGTGTTCCCAAGTGTCTTGTTTTGTGACAACTTTTTTTTTAAAGTAAAGTAAAATGAACAGGTTCTAACATTTATTTAGAGACACAGAGAATCTAGAAAAGCCAAGGCTACCTGAAAGGCAAAGGAAAAGCTAGAGAAGTCACCTGTCTGACCTCAAGCATAAAGCTTCAGTGATCCAACAACATGGTGTTGACAGGAAGGCAGATAATCTGACACACTGGTTAGGAGTGAGCATGGATTAGCTCGACCAACTGAAGAGAAGGATGGCTCACAGGAGAGTGCCGAGACACTGGAACTGCAGCACACCCCTGGGGTTCTTAACCAGAGCTACACCTGTCCTGACCTGCAGAGCAAGTTCCAAGACAGCCAGGGCTACACAGAGAAACCCTGTCTAAAAACAACGGGAGGGTGGGGGGCGTAGAGACCTTTATGTCTTAAAGATCTTGGAGTAAGCAAAAGCTCTTTTAGGATTCAGGACTTTGGGGTAGGGCACAGACAGACACCAACCACAAACCTGGTAAATTGGCCACTGGTGGCACACACCTGTAAATCCCAGCACTTAGCACTGGGCTATACATTGAGTTCAGGGTTGGCTGGTGTTGTTGCTTGTTGGTATAGTGCTTGCCCAGGAACAAAAGATTGTTTATGTTAAAAATTAAACAGTTAAGCCAGGCAGTGGTGGCGCACGCCTTTAATCCCAGCACTCGGGAGGCAGAGGCAGGCGGATCTCTGTGAGTTTGAGGCCAGCCTGGGCTACCAAGTGAAATCTAGGAAAGGCGCATAGCTACACAGAGAAACCCTGTCTTGGAAAACAAAACAGAGCAAAAAACAAAAAACAAAAACCTGGGTTGCCCCTGCACATTCATTCATCAGAGTAGCTAAGATGAAAAAACAAAACACAAAAACCTGACAGGATCAGGCACTGGTGAACATGGGGCAGGTAGGACTTGAACTCTACTTGGGAATGGCTGTGACTTTCTTAGGAAATGCTACAGAGCTGGTGGTGGTGGTGCACACCTTTAAGCCCAGCACTCAGGAGGCAGAGGCAGGTAGATCTCTGTGAGTTCTAGGACAGCCAGGGCTGTGACACAGAAACCCTGTCTGGGGTGGGGGTGGTGCTACAGATACTTGGCCTCTGATGCACCAGGAGAGAGTAAGATTCGAGTCCACAAAGAGTTGATGTAAGAAACTACCCAGAGACCCACCACAGGGTGTGATGTTGTCATCGGAATGAATACCTAGCAACGAGGGAGCGAGCTTCTAGTGCACAGCAGGGTGGGGGTTTGCTGACTGGAGCCAGAACAGCTGTCGTGCCGACAGTTTGGGACTTTGGAGCCGCCTCTGCCCTGGCCGTAGAACTCTGAGGAGATGTCTGTTCTGTGCAGAAGTGATGTGTTCTCCCTGCTCTCTACCCTGCAGGCACTGTTGGTGTGCAGCTCCCAGCTCTCCATGAGTACGGTGCAGTCGGGGGCTCGGCGCGTGCTGCTCCCTCTGCCATGTGGGCCTGTCAGCACTGCACCTTCATGAACCAGCCTGGCACTGGCCACTGCGAGATGTGCAGCCTCCCCAGGACCTAGGGCTCTGGCCCTCTACTGAGCGGGACTGGGCCAGCCCAGCCCTCTCTGAAGCCTGGAGCGCCACGTGTTTCCTATAAGGCCTGAGCCGACAGCCCTGAAGCAGTGGGGCCGCTACCCTGGTATTCCAGATACACTGAGGCTTCTCAGTGCGGATCTTGAAGAGAAAGAGCCCCAGCTGCTATGCTGGGATTGAACAGAACCTCCCAACTGGAAGGGCAGAGCAGCCCTGCCCAAGAGCACCCCACATGCCTCACCTAGTTAATAGCTCCCTACTGTATTGGAAGGACTGAGCACCTCCAAACAATCACCTGAAATTGGGGGTGCACAGAGGTTGCTGCTGTCACCCCGCTGTCTTTCCTTCCTCTATGCTTTTTGTTTTCTGCCTCCCACCTTCTCCCCAGTGTTTGGATGGATGCTCCTGGCTGTCTCTGTTCCCTTGCTGTGGGACGTGTCCCTCCTGTTGGGAGCACGAGTGGCTAGCGGTGGTCCTCGGGCTGGCCTGCAGTGTGGTGTGTCCCTGCCCTTGCCTGAAATCAGCAGTTATCAGTAACTCCTGCCCAGAAAACTTTTATTTATTGTTTTTCAGATAAAACTGCACAGACGGGAGTGAGAGCGATGTAACTCTGCTTTCTTTCCTCTGGAGTGCAGCCCCTCTGGGGTGGTCAGGGTGGCTGTGGGCAGGGGCCACCATCAGTTCTCCTCGGAAGCAAACCTCAGTGCCTGAGACTTTCCTACCGTGCCACAGGATGGTGGCAGCTGGTAGCCTGGGTGGTTTAGCAGAGCAGTGGTGGCTCTTGCCTGGCAGTCAGTCCCTTCGAGTGTATGGGCCAGCCCTGGGATTCTGGTCCCCTCCCAGCACCGTTCCTTTCCCCAAGGCCTCCCTACACTGTGGCCTTCTTGCACAGTGCTGGAGCAGTTGAGACAGTCTAGAAAAGGTGCCCATGTGGCCACCATGAGGCCTGGACAGGTGTGGGCAATTAAAAATGGTCTCTGAGGGTCCCTTGTGGCTGTGTTGTGACAGCCCTTACCCAGGTTAAGATATGGATATCTTGATGCCTCTTTGCCTTAATGAGAGCTAAGTCAGCTGTCCTTTACCCTGGGAAAGGCCATGCCAACCGAAGGCTGCTGGAGGCCATATGTGTCACTCTAGTAGAGTGCGGCCATGCTGCCTTCCGCATCCTTAGCCCTGTGGGCAGGACACTTGTCTGCTAGGTCTTCATGGGGCAGGGCTAGGGTCAGCACCGCTGGTTTCACCTGGCATGTAATCTGAAGTCAAAGGCCCAGGGGCTTTGGACCCATTGAGTTTGGTCTAGTATTGACAGGGCCATCCTGGAGGGTGAGGAGGTAGAGAGCAAGCAGTCTCTCCAGCCACCTCCCAACAGCCTACAGAGAAAGTGCTGAGGGCTATCTTTCTCCTTCCTGGTAGTCTCCCTGTCTTTTCTGGTCCCTGAAATCTGGTAGACTGGATGTCCTAGCATAGCTGTGTCCCCGATGCTGATTGTACTGGCACCATTGTACATGCTGGGCAGGTGCTGGGCAGCACAGACTCTGGAGACCTTTTTGCCACTACTTATTCCCCATTCACCTTTGTCTACAAAAGTTAATTACTTTTCTCATGTTCTGGCATCCAAATAATTCTTGTTTTCTCTGTCTTTTAGCTAAAGAAATTGTTGTGATTTCTCTGCTTATGGTTTTCAGTTACTCTTTGTTCAGTAATGCACTTTATTTTATTGTCCAAAGAGAGTCAAGCTAATGCTACCAGCTTAGGGTGAGCCCTACAGAAGGTTCAGGCCTGAGCCTCTCAGCTACCTCCTCCTACATGGAGGTGGCCCTAGCCCCACCTCTAATCCCTCCTGCCATCAGGCACTATAACCCAGAAAGGGGTGCCTGTGGGTATACCTACCCAAGTGAACCCAGTGGCTGCCATGGTCCTCTTCAGGCTCAGAAATGGGGCCTAGCCCTGGCCTTGCTCTGACCAGCCTGCTCCTGGGACATGGGTGCTCCCGCTTCGGCTCTGCTTTGGGCTCATAGGTGTGCATTGGCTGGGTGTGGACTAGTATTTCTTTGACCCTAGCCCTGCAGTGGAACCTAATAAAAGCGCCTGAAGCGATTGCCCTGCTCCCAGTGCGTTGTTCCTGTGCCCAGAACCGTTATCCACCAATTGTATCATGTGTGGTGTGTATGTGCATGTGCCGTCTTGAGTGTTAAAATCTGGTATGCAGAAGATAAGCTGAGGATGCTTCCAACTCTTTGGAAGAGACTCAGATGCTGCAGAGGAAGACTTCATCCCCCAGGCATTTCCAGCCAAGGTGTGTTCAGAGCAGCCTGGGGACAGGACTTAGAGATCTGTTCCAAAGGCCACTGAGAATTTGTGCAGTAGGTTCACCACCACTACCACCCTCAGGTTGTGGTTCAGTTTTTAGTTTTTTTTCATTTTATTTTTTACAGCTGGACATGGTGGTGGATGCCTTTTCCCAGCACTCTGGAGGTAAAAACATTAGTTTATCATTTGGTGTTTGGTTTTGGTTTTTTGGCTTTTCAAGACAGGTGTCCTGGAACTTGATCTGTAGACCAGCCTGGCCTCAGAACTCAGAGATCCACCTGTCTCTGCCTCCCAAGTGCTTGCTGGGATTAAAGGCGTGGGCCGCCACCACCCAGCTTATTGTTCTTATTGTGTGTTTTTGTGCACATGAATAGAAAGGCCAGTAGAGGATGCGGGAGCCCGTGGAGCTGCCAGGGATTGTGGATGCTAGAAATGAAACTTGGGTCCTGTGCAAGAACAGTGTGTGCTCTGAACTGCTGAGCCGTGTTCCAGCCCCAGGACTGTGTTTGAACAGCTATGCTAGGATTATAACTAGGTCCAAGCCCACAACCATTTTTTGTGCCTGGTTGTGCCCCCAGACATCTTTACTCCTAGATTTGGCCACTGAAGTTTTCAGACTAGCATTTTACCAGACAAGGTTTCCTGAGCTGACCCCACAATTCAGTTCAAGCAATCCTGCCTCAGCCTGAGGAGCTGCCGCTCTAGGAACAGAGGCAGTGGCATCTAGTTTCTGAGTAAGATTCTCATCTCAGCCAGCAAGTAGAACTGTCATTGAAGAACAATGGAAACCGCCTCTTAGACCTTGCTCTTCAGGGCTCTCAGCATCCTCTGCTCCAATTCAGAATCCCTTTTGCATCCGGACGAGTTCGAGCATGGAGGAAAGGCTGTTCTGGGTGGCTGGCCGGAAGCCTTATTTTCCCTGATCAAGGGACTGCACAGTGTACCGAGCCACCCAACTCCAAAGAGCCTGTGCTGTGTTGGTGAAACCCTCCCCAGTGCTGACACAAATCTGGGTGTGGCATGCAGCCTTGTACTGGGGCAACCTCTGCACACCAGGTAGGAGGTCTGAGGCAAGGACCCCTACCTGGGCCGGAGTGGACTTGAAAAACCGCTTCCCACCCGGCGGCCCTCGGCCTTCCTGCGTTTCGCTCTAAATGGAGGCTCTGCTGAGCCACGGTGTCTGCGCGCCCGTGGTGACGGGGCGTTCCCGCGGGCTAGCAGGACCGTCGGGCCGCCATCCCCGCCCCTGCACAGGCCCCAACCCCGCCTCCGCAGCGGCCGCTTTACGGCGGAGGCCGTGCCACGCTGTAGGCGGCCGTAAAGCCTGGAGGCGGCACCGCCTCTCGCGGCTGAGCCCTGGCCCGGCGCCCGCACCATGGCGGGCGCTTCCTCGCGTGTGCACTACCTGTCCGACTTCTGCTGCCCGCTCGGAGGCCGGGCGGGGGGCAAGCCGCATGTGCTGCGTCATGAGGCGGAGATCTTTCTGTCCACAGGGCGCGAGTTCGTCTATGTGTACGACCAGGAGGGAGGGATGCTGACGGTGAGCGGGGGGCGGGCGGGCGGGCGGCGCCGTTCCGAGGTGAGCCGGGGCCGCGTGTGCCCTCGCCTGACCTCGCTCTCCTGGCGCCCAGGCGGTGTACCAGTTTCCCGACCAGGTGTGGCACCTGCAGCTCCTGGCCATCCGCAGGGCTCTCTACGTCCTGTGTGCACGGACTGGCATCTACTGTCTGTCGTTGGACTCCCAGAGCAGGTGAGGGGGCGTGGCCCCACGCGGCGCCGGCCAGTTCACAAGTCGGGGCCCCAGGAGGCCTGCCCATGGTGGACCTGCTGTCGTATCCTCCTTTGAGCAGTGCCCGGTTTGCCCCGTCCGTACTGACCGGCCACTGACAACGTGCAGGAGGCAGGGGACTGCAGTCTAGGCCATCTGTATGTGCGCTTGGAACCTCTTGCCCCCAACAGTTATGACCCTAGAGTGTCTGCTTCCACGAAGTTCTCAGCTACTGAGGCTCAGGTAGTGAAGTCTGCAGCAGCCAGGAGCACAGCTGCTATTGCCCTCAGGTGTCTGAGGTGTCTCCTGTTGGTGGTAACAGCACAGGCTCCATGGCCAGTGGCTTGTGCTGGGAAAACTCAACAGACAGCCCAGACGCCACACTGGGGGTCATTCCCACACGATGGGCATTGTCTGTGGAGCTGTGCTTCTGGCTGATCCGTGTGTCGGGTGGCGTATGTGACCTGCTGAGTGGCCCGTGGATGCCATGGGAACGCTTTCAGGCACTTGTTGTGATATCTGCCTAGCCTGCTCAGAGCAAGTCAGGTTATTGTTGAACATAAGGTGACGCCACCCCATCCAATACTGACTTCTGTTCCATTGTTCCTGAAGGTCTGTGATCCAGGCCTGTGAGGACAAAGAGGATGAGGCTCGCCCTTACCCTGTGATCCCTGTGGACCCAGATGCCTGTGTCCTCCCCGATGCTGCTCTCTGTGCCTTCACTGTGCTGGATGACATGCTGGTCACCCTGGTACAGGGCCCCACCCAGTGGAAGATGCAGCTCTTTGAGCGTCCCTGTCCAGGGGAGGAGCCTCAGCCTGGAGGCGTGGTTGGTGAGGTGGAGTTGTCTACCTGCACCCCTCCAGGTGGGGTGCCGGGGAAGCCTGCAGCACCCTGCTTCCTGCCGGTGCTGTGCTGTGTGTTCCCGCCAGGCTCCAGGGCACCTCACGGCCACCCGCGGGGCTGTGGCTGCTTCGTGCTAGAGGAGGCTCTCTTTGGCCTACTCTTTGGAGCTGATGCCAGCGTCCTGCAGTCCCCTGTGATCCTCTGCGGTCTTCCTGATGGCCAGCTTTGCTGTGTGGTTCTGAAGACCTTGGTCCCTTGTGGGTTAGCCCCTGGTGACCCAAAGGTCCTGGTCAAGATCCTCCATCACCTGGAGGAGCCTGTGGTCTTCATTGGGGCTCTGAGGGCAGAGCCACATGCTGAGGAAGAGGCAAGAGAGCTGCTGCTTGAGGAGAATGTGCACTCTGACTGCCTGGTAGCCCTTGGCCACCAAGGCCGGACACTGGCCATCAAGGCCAGCTGGAGTGAGTCAGGGAATCTGGTGCCAGAGCTTCGTGAGTACTGCCTCCCCGGGCCTGTGCTCTGTGCCGCCTGTGGTGGGGATGGCCACATGTACCACAGCACCCCCTCAAACCTCTGTGTGGTAGACTTGACTCGGAGAGAAACTCCTTGGAACCCTGAGAAGCCAGACGGAGCCGTAGGAGGTCTGCCCTCCACGCTGTGCCCAGCCAGCTTGAACATCTGCAGCGCTGTCACTCTCTACGTATCCTCCAGCGCATCTACAGGTATGAGCTGCCGTTGGACAGGACCGGGCCTAGGACAGTCTTTCCCCTGAGCTGTCCTTGCTCCTTGCTTTTTTCTTTGGTGAGACCTTTGCAGAGGTGGCAGGTATAGGCTTTCTCGCCAGGCCTATCACAGACCAGCAGTTCACTCACTCCTGTCTTGGGGTTGAGGTACCTCTGTATGTGTGTCCTGCCTGGGATTGGGCAGTGTGCTACTCTACCTGGGTGTGCCCTGGCTCCTCAGTTGAGTGCCAGCTCACAACATGTGGCTTATGAGGTTGGTGTAAGAGCATCCCCCCACAGCAGGTCTCAAATCAGGTCAGACCAAGCCTTCCTGTGTCCTCTGAGGCTAGATGAGCCTGCTTTCACTGCTGTATGACCTGTTTATGAGCCATTCAGAGGGTGTCTCAGAGTTCTCTAAGACAGCGTTAGCTGGGTTTGCCAGGCTCTGGGATGAGAGGAAGACTTTCCTTTCTCCCCAGTGCTTTCCCATAAAGATCCACTATGAGTAGGTTAAATCTGCAGAAAACGCTTATCAGGAGAAAAACACTTGGAAGAGCCAAACTACCACAGGGTCGGGGCAGGGATAGGTGTGGCTGGAGACCAGGGCACCAATGAACTTATTTCCAGCTGCTAAACTACCCACTTCAGGGTTCATGGTAAGAGCTATGTTGGGAGTCAGGAAGCAAGCAGACCTTTGTCCCCTCAGTGCCAAGAAGAGGGCAGGAGGATGTGGTGGAGAAGCCAGGCCTCCTGAGATGTGCCCAGTGAGGATGAGGTGAGCAGAGCTCGGCCTCCAAGGGCACTTCTCTTTGGAAGGCTCAGCAGCTTTGCTCTGTGTGGCCTGTTGAAGACTGAGATACTGTTGAATGATTGGATGCCATACAGTGTCCTCCTCTGGCCCCTTTTGTCCCTTTTGTGTGGGGGATCAGTCACTACCATGACATCACATCTGGGCTGACACTGTCTCGAGTAGGGAATCCAAAATGTGTATAGAAACCAGTGGTCACCTCTGTCCAGCCCCTTGGTGTGGGCTTCCCTGGTCTCCCCACAAGCACCTCATTTCCTTCCTTGGACTCTGCCTTGGCCCTTTGCCAACCCTCTTCCTGGAGTCCAGAGCAAACACTGCTGACTGGTCCTGCATGTGTTCATCATCAGGTAGCACCGAGCTCCTGGCCTTGTCTTCCAAAGGACGTCTGATCACCTGCAGCCTGGACTTGAACTCAGAGGTGCGTGTGCCTGCCAAAATGGCTATGGCAAATGCAGGCCAGAAAATTAAGGAGCTGCTCTTGGACATCGGTGATGTGTCTGAGAGGTGAGCTGCAGACTCTGGCTCACGAAAAGCTTGTATCTTGTTCTTGGGGGCCAGCATCCTGGGTGGAGCTGACTCAGGCTAGGGAGGTTCTGCATAACAACCATGTGTGTGGCTATCTCCATCAGGGGCCAAAGAGTCTGCACTCAAGCCCTCAGAAGACAAGAGACCCCTTTCTTCTCAGCCCTTCACCTTCCCTCTGACAGGATCCAGGAGCCTGCTAGCACCAATCCCTTGCCTGCTTCCATGGATGCTCCTTAAGGCCAATGTGTTCCTGCTCTCAGCCAAGTTTCCAACACCCAAACTTTCCCCTCAGCCACGGCCAGTGCTAGTCCTCTTGCTCCTCATGACTTTGGGCCTAGAGCTGCTGGTCTATGGGCTTTATGGCCTTGTGATTTGGGGATATTCCCATAGGTCTACCACCCACTGTCACTGTGGAGTGTTGCCAAGGAGCAAGGGCTATTCGGGAGCTTTGTGAGGAGATTTGTGGGGTGATTCATCCCTGGCAGGTATAGGCCAGTTCAGTGTCTCCACCCTCTCTTGCCTTCCAAAGCCAAGAATAAAGATCAGGTCAAGCAACTGAACGTGGCTTCTGAAGGGTTTCCCCGGCATCCTCCGAGAGCTGCTGCACAGATGTGGCTCCCTCTGCCGTGACCTCATTGTCCTGGGTGTTGTGTCTGTTCCTTGCAGAGTGTCCTTTCTGAAGAAAGCTGTTGACCAGCGCAACAAGGCCATAACAAGTCTCAACGAGGCCATGAATGTGAGCTGTGCCCTGCTGTCCAGCCAGGAGGGTGTCCGGCCCATCTCATGTACCATTGCTATCTCCTGGAGCCGCCTGGAGTTGCGAGACGTGCTGATGGCCACCTGCACGCTAGAAAACAGTAGCAGCTTCAGCCTGGACCAGGGCTGGACCTTGTGTATTCAGGTGCTTACCAGTTCCTCTGCCTTAGACCTGGATGGGGCTGGCTCAACTTTTACCTACACCATTCCAGTGGACAGACTTGGCCCAGGAAGTCGGCGGGAAGTGACATTGCCCCTGGGCCCTAGTGAGAGTGGCATGCTTGACCTGCCAGTGACCATGTCCTGCTGGCTCTTCTACAGCCTCAGGGAGGTGGTGGGTGGGGCCCTGGCCCCTTCAGATCCTCTAGAGGTCCCCTATCTGGAGAAGCTTCCTCTCAACCTTCCTAAGCAAGAGGGTGTCTGCCTGCCCCTGTGCAAGCGCACAGTGGACATGCTGCAGTGTCTGCGCTTCCCGGGTGTGGCCTCACCACCTGCACAGGCGCCCTGCGCGCCTGGCCCTGCCTGTGAGCCTGTGGAAACCTTCCTGAAGACCTGCCAAGCCCCTGGCAGTGAGCCAACTGGCGCTGCCTCCCTACGGGCCAAGTACCTGCCTCCATCCACAGCATCCATCAGGGTGTCAGCGGCGCTCCTCAGGACTGCCCTGGAGGGCGGTCACTCAGGTTGGTGTCATTGCGGCTTCCCTTTGGCCTCAGGGCCCTGCAGCCTGTGGAAGTAGGATGTTCCCCTCTCTGCCTGTGGCTCTTAGGAGTTCACTGCGTCCTGATTGCGGTTGGAGTCTTGTGTCATGTCGCCCTGTCCTGTCCTTTGTTAAAAACTGAGGAGGCACAAGCCGAGCAGAGACAGGTGTCAGCAAAGAGTAGCCTGGTCAGTTCTCACATCAAGCACCGGGTGTCTCCAGACCAGAAGCTGGTCTGTCTGAGGTCTGTTAGAGCCCTGGGCCTGGCTTTTGCTCCCACAGTGTGCTGAACTGTTTGTATTGTTTGGCACCGGATGTGTGGCTGAAGTGTCCTGGTTGCTGGTTCCTCTGTCCTGCTCCCAATGGATGTTGGGCTATATATCTGGTTTCATTCTGTCCTGGGGAGGGCTGAAACCATCCTGCACAGCATTTCTGTCGGCACCACAGTGCAGTTAGGACTGTACCCTGTGCCTTGGAGGACCTCCCCGAGTAAGGTTCTAGCTCCGGGTCCATGATTTCCTGGTGACCCCATTCCTTCCTGTCTTTGGGTAACTAACTAGCTTAGCTCCCTATTGTGGTAAGACTGTGGGCATTTGGGACACATAAGTGGCATTGGAAAAGGAACATTTGAGGGAAGCCACACAGGTGCCATTTAGTATGACCTGCCTACACTCCAGCGGGCACCTCTCTCTTCCAGGTTCCCACCTGTGCAGCGCCACCCTGCAGTGGCTCCTTGCTGAGAACGCTGCTGTGGATGTTGTGAGGACCCAGACACTGTCTTCCATCCAGGGAATAGCCCCAGATGGTACTGATGTCAACCTCATCGTCCATGAGGCAAGCAGGGGCCACTTGCATGTGTGGGATGGGACTCAGGGCCCACAATCCTCAGTGGGTCCTTGGGCCATTGCTTATGGGAATTACTTTAACTGGCCTGTCAGTCTGGGCCACTGGGAGGACCAGCCCTGTATGATCCATCACGTGCACTGCCAGGGTCACAGTGGACAGTAAATACAGTACTGGTGGTCAGCCAACCCAAGCCAGTATCAGCTAACCTGTTGGACCACCAAAGGGCAGTGGGCCCCTTTGGGGAGCCTCAAGTGAGACAGCCCACCCCCTCCGGCCTTTCCCTCTTGTACAGCCTCTTTTGGGGGTCCTCCTAGCATCCAGAATCCCCTGCAATAGACCTTTACATCTTACTGTCAGAGACTCTTGGAGAGGAAGCCCTGTCTGCCAAGGACCATGGACCTCTACTCCCAGAGCTCAGGCCGTGTACTCCAGTCCCCTCACTGCCTCCTGCGCTGCCCCTTCAAGCCATGTTGTGACCAACATCTAAGCCAGATGATCCCTGCCAAGGCTGAGAACTAGCAATGGTCCTGGGCAGTGGACAGAGTCTGTGCTTGCATGGAGAAACCATTGGTGGCCAAGGCCTTTCTACAGTCCCCAGGCTCTGGGTCTTATGCCACTGTGTAAAGAGCAAGACAGGGCTACCCAGCCCTCAGCCTGTCTAGTTAGCTCAGTCAGACCTCCTGAAGGGTGCTGAGATATCCACAGACAGGCACTTCAACTCCCTGTGTTAGGCCTTCATTCCATTCCTGACATAGAGCCAAGTTTAGTCTGGGTGCAGCTCAGAATGAGGTGGTTCCTCCAGGATTGGATTCTGAGTCGTCCTGATATGGCTGTCCATTGCAAACAGCCTGCTCGCCTTGAAAATGTGGAGAACAAGCCAGGCTGTGCTGCAGCTGTTCAGAGCCTCGTGTGTTACAGGTCGCTGTGACGGATTTGAGCCCCGCTGGGCCCATCCAGGCTGTGGAGATCCAAGTGGAGAGCTCCTCTCTGGCCAACATGTGCAGGGCGCACCATGCCATCATCAGACGAATACAGGTACCACAGCCGGCGGGGGAGGGAGGTTGGGGGAGGAGGCTCTGAAGGCACTAGGCAGCCATCTGGGTTTCTTCTGTGGACCCACAGCTGTGGGCATCGCGGTGCATGGGGGAGCCCTCTGAGCAAACAAGACACTCTAGGTGGGCTCTCAGCTCGTGTCACCCCAAGTTCAGAAATGGCCGGATCTATATGTCTGATAAATTTCTAGTCATTGCTTGTCATATCTGGGGCTAAGCCCCAGGTATGGATTCCAGGCCAAGCGCCTATGCTATGAGTAGATGGATCAGCCCAGGACAGTTCATCGGTGCAGAAGAAGCCACGTCAGCACAGAGACATTACCCACTTGAGACTGGTGTGGCCCATCCTCCAGTCAAGGTCCACAGTGGCCACCTGGCAGTTAGTTCTGCAGTTAGTTCTTGGCTGTAGCCACCAACCCCACTCGGAACTTGGCCCTGTGTGCTCTGGGGTTGCTTCTCCTGAGAATCAGGCCTTAGAGCTGGGCATGCTCTGTGATGAGGGACAGGTAGAGGTTCTCGCTGCCTGCAGAGCCGGAAGGTCAGCCCCAGCACAGGACTCCCCTGTCCTGAGCCATTTGTGAAGTTCACCTACAAAGTGAGTGGCGTAGCAGTAGCAGGGCCGTAACACAGCTGTGGGCTTTGTGTGTTCGGGAGTTCAGTCCCCATGCTGTGGACTATTAGCAGAGTAGTCTCCAAAGCAGGGGTGCCACCAGCCTCCAAGAACTTCTGTCACCATTTGCCCAAATTTCCCATTATAAGGACACAGTCACATAGGATTAAGGCCACCCCAGTGGTTTTTATCTTGGTCATCTGCAAAGACCCCATTTCAGAAAAAGCTGCCTTCAGAGGAACTAGAGTTAGGACTTAGTGTGTGATTTCAAGGGGACACAGTTGATCCTTATAGAGAATCACATGGTGCAACTGCCCCCTAGGTAGCATTCAGCAGGTTAACTTCAGGCAAGCACCTCCATGGTCTATAGACAGGAATCTCCCACAGCCACTGGGACCTTGCCCAGATGTTCTTCCCCAAAGGTAACACTGTCCAGGACCCTGGGGTGGATATTCAGCCTAGGTAGGTCTGCTCCGAAGGCTTTGCCATATCTAAAAAGATCTTTTAGCAAGCTAGACTGCCCTCAGAAAGCAAGAATGAATGCCCAGCCCTGAGTGAGCCTGCAGAGGGAGTGAGCAAATAAATCAGATGGGGCTCCTGCCTAAGGCCCAGCCCAAAGTTTGTCTGAGTCAAGATTTGGGTTTAGGTTTAAAAGGGTTTAAAAAGGAGCTTTAAGCTGGACGTTGTGGTGCACGCCTTTAATCCCAGCTCTCGGGAGGCAGAGGCAGGCGGATCTCTGTGAGTTCGAGGCCAGCCTGGTCTACAGAGCAAGATCCAGGACAGACACCAAAACTACACAGAGAAACCCTGTCTCGAAAAACCAAACAAACAAAAAAGGGGTCTTTGGTCAGGCCTAGTGGTACATTCCAAAATCCTAGAAGTTGGTAGGTTATGGCAGGAGGATCAGTAATTCAAGCCCAGCCTGAGCTACATAGCAAGTTTAAGGCTATCCTGGGTTATTGAAGGCCCTGACTTAAACTCCAGAGACGTCTTTCTTAATTACTGTGAGTGGGAGCTCCTGCGTCTGTGAGGAGGAAAGGCCTGGGGAACATGGTGTGAGTGAGTGGGCTCTCCACAGGAGACAGTGTTTGGGGAGAGAGATAAGAAGTGGTCACTAGGATCTGAGGACATGAAGACCCTGGCCTCTGACGGAGGCATTCGCTCTGGGAAGCACTCTCCAGTACCCACCCGCAACCCTTCTGTTCCCCAGACTATGGTCACAGAGCAGGCTGCCCAAGGCTCCAGCCCACCTGACCTCCGAATACAGTATCTGCACCAGATCCATGCCAACCACCAGGTGAGCCCCAGTTCCTGGGTATGAGGAATGTCCCCAGATGGCATGTAGGAAAGACAGTACTCAGAGGGCACCAGCCATGTGGGGCTGCCCAGTTTTCAGCGTGGGCTGGGTTCTCTGGATGAGATCAAGATGTGCAGGGTCATGTCCATCTCCTGTTTGCCTGCCTATATCCACGTGGTTGTATGTCACGTGTTTAAGGCCCTGTGACCCAGTGCTCTTTTCTGGACCACCCACTACCTCCCAAGTCCAGGACGTTTCCTAGGTGAAGGCGCAGGCTGAGCTGTGCTGCCTGCCCACAGGAACTGCTCCGGGAGGTGCAGACACTGCGGGACCAGTTGTGTACGGAGGATGAAGTCAGCTCCTACTCCACAGCCCAGAAGCTCCTGCAGGTTTACAAGCAGCTACGCAACCCTAGCCTTGTCCTGTTGTGACTAGGTGGGTCCTGGTCCTCTGTCCCACTTTGCCCAGCGTGCTGACCTCTGGTTCTACCCCAGTGGAAAAGGCTACACGTTGGCTCACTGGCTTAGGCAGCTGTGCCTCCGGGCTCGTCAGCCAGGGGAGCTGAAGAAGTGGGGTGTGAGGTGGATTCAGGCGGCATCTGAACCCACTGGGCTTTGCTGCCTTCTTCTCACGCCTTCTTCCTCCCCGACAGCTGCTGGCCAGCTTCTCCCCACGGCAGGACACCCCTCAGGCTGGTTCTGGGGCTGGCCTGGCAGCACCCCTCCACTGCAACCTCTGCACCCCTGATGGGAAGGATCGTTGCCCAAGTACTCGGGCCATGGAGACACAGGGTTTCTGGGGCTCAGACTTGTGGGTTTAGGACTGTTCTGCTGCTGACCCCACCACATCCCAGGAGCACTGGCTGCCTCTGGAGCCACCAGGTGGCAGAGTGCTCACCCTCAACCAAAGCACAAAGACCATGGGAGGGCTCCTATAGATGCGGCCGCCGCCGGCCCAAGCTGCCTCCAGCCGGTGTTCCAGCCTCCTCCTCAGCTGGGCAGTGCCCTGCTGCTGGTGGTGCTGCTGTCCTCACTACGGGAGGAGAGCGTGTCTGCAGGGCTGTCTGTGAGGTGCTGTGCCGACAAGCTGCTCTTCCCATGACGCGTGTCAGGTGATGTTTACTTCTTCCCTCACCCTCTTCACAGCCTGCTCTGCTCTGCCCAGCTGGGTGGGTAGCCCGTCCCAGCTTCCACAGTGCCCAGCTACCCTCCACCAGGGCTCCTGTGGCCATTTGGGGCCAGAGATCTGCCCCTCAAGGTCTGGACAGACTGGGCTCCTGCCACCCTCACCTCACAGGGTATTTGCATAGGTGTTTGTCAGTCCTACAGGACAGAGTCCTCCATGGAGGCCGTTAGGAAATGGAATGGCCTCTGGACACACCTGCAGTCTGTACAAGCCTGGCTTTTATAACAAGGTGCTCAGTGTCAGGGTTGCCGGCTTACCTTGCCTGCTGGCCTGCTAAGAACCCTGTCCACAGCTTGTCCCCAAGGCTACCCTTGCCACCTTCCGAGTGGGAGCCTCTAGCTACATCATGCAGTGTGCCTGACTGTCAGCTCTGACCAAGTTAGCGAGGCTGGGTCAGCCCACAGGACAGCAGGCCTGCCTTGGAGCAGAGAGGTCTCCCAGGCTGAACTGGCTTCTGTCTCTGTCAGAGCTGACATTTTCTAGTGTCCCCTACCTGCCATTATAGTCCTCAGAAATTGCAAGGTTTGTCTTTAGCCTAAACTCCAGCAGGTCCTGGGGATGGGGCACCAGGGCTTGGCCTTGTTCACCTTGGCACTGGTGGAATTAGTAGGGCCCAGCACCAGTCTTAGCTGGAGAGTCTCACTTGAGCTGTCATCATGGAGTAAGAGCCACCATTATTCCAGCGGGGTCCCCCAGTCTTGTCCAGCACCTGTGTGATGTCCCCCACACATGCCAGGTAACGCCTGACCTCCGGGATACTGCAGGCCGTGGTCCCACCAGCTTCTGAGACCTAGCCTGCTCAGGCTGCTAAGGTCAGCTCCGAGAGTTAATAGGGATGCCCTGATGTGTGACCCTTGTCGCTCTGAGTAAGCCAAGGACAGTCCCTTTCTTATTCCTAAGGGTAGGGTGGGTATCCAACCATAACTTCCTTCCCAGCATGCCTCCTGCCTTTCCTGCCAGCCATACATTGCCTCCCCACCCCCACACATGCTCTGGCTGAGTGACTTCTTGTCTTAGACTTACAACTCTCCCTGGGTCTCATTTGCCCTGAGTACTTGGAGAGGGCTTTAGGGCCCCAAGTAGGGTCAGGTCAGCCTATGTTAGGATGGCCTTCCTCAATCTCTGACCCAAAGCCTAGCAACTGCTGGAGCAAGGTGGGGTGAGGGGACAGAGGCAGCCCCACTTCCAGCCACGGCCCTGCCCTAAGGTTGCTGGAAGATGGGGAGATCCTTGCACAGAAGGGTGAAGACCCCTAAGGGTGGGCTCCAGGTGCATACCCTTCCCGTCCCCAAGCTGGGTGGTGTGAGCCCAGCGCAGCTGCACAACAAAGGTTTAATGTTGGGTCGGTGGCACTGGGGTCGCCCCTGAGTCCTCAGTACTCCCAGAGAGCTTCCCCCATAGGCAGGTCTGCATCAGCACGCAACAGCCCCGAGGCGCCGCCACGCAGGTACTTGCCACTGAGGGCACGGATGGCCAAGCGGCCACGCTCTCGGAACTCGAAGAGGAAATCTTCCGCCATGTCGCCGTCACTGCACACGCTTCCGTGGCTGCCAATGTACCAGAACCCAGCTCCGCGGCCTGGGGGCAAGGCTGGAGGTCGGCAGGGCCCGCGGACCCCATGCCTCCCATTGCCTCCCTGCATCCTTTGTTCCCGCACCTCTGATCTGATAGGCGCCATCCCTGAAGCTCAGGTGGAAGACATCGTAGGTGGAGCGGTTGGTGTCCAGCTGGTTGGATCCTCGGCGGTGGCAGACAAAACCATCCAGACCACGCAGCACCAGGATGGGTCGGTTGATGAGTTTAAGGATGAACAATTCGTCTTCGCCTAAGGGAGAGGACGCTATGGACTGCTCCTGCCCCTACTTGTCCTATGCAGGCCGTGGACTTGGGGGTCCAGGTGGGCCACTGCCTGGTGTGCTGCTGTGGCAAGGAACCTAACGGACAGAGCCTAGACGTTCCTAATGTACAGGGGCTAAGGAAGTACCCAGGGTTCCCCAAAGACAGTAAAGGAAAAGACCCTGGGATCTGACTTCTTCCCTGATGAATGAGGTGGGGGGGGGGGGCTCAGATGCACTGGCGAGGGGTGGAAAGCTGCCCCAACTTACAGAAGGCAGGGACTGCTCACCCACAAAGTCACTGATGGCGGCCAGCTGCCCGTTTTTCTTCATGCACACGTAACGCCCGTTGCTGGCTTTAAGTGCCACCCGCCGGCCACGCCATTCCATTTCAAACATGGTGTTGGCAGAACTGGGGGTGGGTGAGACACAGACAAGATCTCAGAGAGAGAGGCGCAGTTTGGTCTCCCTATCCTTGGGTTCCAGGGATGAAATAGGAGCCTGCCCTCTGCAGAAATATCCATGGCTGATGGGAGCTGCTCCCCACGCCAGTGAACATCTGCTGTCGAGGCTGCTGTCCTCATAGATAAGCTGTGCTCGGATGCTGGTGGGGATGATGGTTGTGGAGGTGATGACAGAAGTGATCATGGTCACTGGGTGCGGTGGTGTACGTGCCTCCAATCCCAGCACTCAGGAGGCAGAGGCACGTCTCTGGGTTGGAGGCCACCCTGGTCTATAATAGTTCCAAGGCTACACAGTGAGCCCTGTCTCACAAACAGAACAAAACAAGAAAGGTGTGTGTGGGATGACAGTGATGGTCATGTTTGTAAGTGACGGTGATGGAGGTGATGGCAGGGGGGCGATGCAGACAGGGACAGGTGCACTCACACTTGTGTGGCCGTGGCCTGAATGCCCCCATGAGTGACCAGGGTCCAGTAGCCACCAGTGCTGGAATAGAAAGTACACTTCTTTGTCTCCTGGTCAATTTGCATCAGGAAGGTTTCATGGTCCAGTTCTTCATCCTGATTGGCTGAGACATTGATTCCTGGAGGGAGAAGACAGTGAAGCTCCTCAAAGCTCCTGGGAGGCATAGATGGGGAGGGAAGCATGCTTTGGGATGCCATGAAGACAGAGTCTCAGCTAGAGCTCTCATCTCGGGATTTGGAAGCCATCTGTCAGAAGCAAGGGAACTCTGCCCAGGACCATCCAGATACCAGTGTGCCCCACACATACCCAGCTCTTTCCTCGCTCCCTGAGATAGTACCTTTCATGCTGCCAATCCCCATTCTGCTAATCAGCAAGTAATCTGCTTGTTCCTGCTCTCTTGACCCAGGATTTAAAGCAGCTTCTATCTATAATTCACCCTTAAGCTGCTGGGGGGAGGGGTGTCTCTGACCTTCCCCCTGAGGTGACCTAGATCATAGCCAGGGACTAGGAACCAGCCTACCTCCCACACATGTACTGGGTATCCTGGAGCCCTAGGGGAAGGCAGGCTGCCCAGGACCCGCCCAGTGTTTGTGTAATGGAACAGATCGACAACTGTTCCACGTCCTGGTGCAGCATGCAGACACTGAAACCTCCTCAGGATTGTCCTATAAGCCCTGGCCCCTCCCACAAACCCATCAGTTTCCTGGCAACTGAGTGTGGCAGGTAGAAGCTCCATGAGCCCCAGGGGCTCAAGGTGTAACTAATGAGGTGGGAGGGGAAAAGCCCAAAGGTGGGGCCACGTCTGATCCAACCCTGAAGGAGAAGAGAGGACCAACCAAATGGCAGCCACCAGTGGAGAGGGTGAGGTCCACTGCCGTTCTCTAGCTCCCAAAGGCTGTGCCCAGGCACCCTCACACTGGGGGTCACTGCTTCCATGCAGAAGAGCAGCTAGCATATCCCAGACAAGGGTCTAATAGTTTCTTGAGTTGTTTTTTTTTTTTAATGTGTATGGGTGTTTTGCCTGTGTGCATGTCTGTACCACTTGTGTGCAGTGCACTTAGAGGCCAAAAGAGGAAGTCAGATCCCCTGGCACCGGAGTTACAGATGGTTGTGAGCCACCATGTGGGTACTGAGAATTGAACCCGGGTCCTCTGGAAGGGCAGCCAGTGCTCTTAATGGCTGAGCCATCTCCCCAGCCCTGGCCCACAAAGACCCCAGTCTTTTTTTTTTTTTTTTCACTGTCTCCACCCCTGCCAGCTCCATCATTCTAGCAACAAACACTAAACTGGATGGCTGGAACCAAGGAGAGTCCTCAGTCTCATGCACCAAGCCTCATGGTGAACAGAAGCCAATGGGAAAGTCCCGGTAATGTGTCTCAGATGGATGAATGCACAGGCTGCAAGAAAAGTGGGCTTTCAATAAAGCTTGCAGGGACAGCGGGCAGAACCAGGTCAAAGGATGTGACCTGGGCACGCCAACTAGCACCATCATTGACTTCAGCCAATGCCACATACCATCTTGCAGGCCAAGGTGCTCTGTGCCCACATCGCCTGCCTCTGCAGACAGAATGCTACCAAGCGTCTTCTTCCTCATATTCACCTGCTTCTAGGGAACTGACTGGCAGTGGGAGGGGCACAGAATCCAGAATGATCTGGACAGTGATGACTTTACCCCTCTTGAGGGGTTGTTTCTGGATAATGAGTATGAGGTATATCTGCTAGGATTCAGGGAATGGTTGAGTCAGTCTGTTACTGGCAGAAACAAATGCGTATAGCTGGGCTGCCCGTGAGCCCTGCAGGGCCAGTGAAGGCAGACACCACCTGGCATGGCTGTGGAGGGACAGCAAAGAAGTCCAGTGGGACAAACTGTAAATTGGTGACCCATAAGCAGCTCCTGACTAGAAGACAAGTTTGGGACTGTCTCTCCAGGTGACCAGGTCAAGCTGGGCTGCTACTCCATAGATACTATGCTGGCCAGGACAAACAAGCCCAAATCCACCTCTCAGACTGCCTTGAACCTAATATCACTTCCACCCCAACACAAAGACCTGCCTTCTCCCCAACACTAGTCGCAAGGCTGGGACATCTGCCTGGCATCACCAGCCCAGAGAAGCAGAGATGAGCACTTGGTGTCTCTACTTCCAAGTCCTTAGTGGGAGACCCCCCACCAAAGGGATGGAATCACATACAGGGTGGTCAAGAGGCTGAAGTCAGTGAGATGTCTTAGCAAGTTCAGGTGCTTTCTGTGAAAGCCTGAGAATCTGAGATCGATCCCTGGAATCCATGTAAAGGTGGGAGGAGAAAAAGGATTCCTCAAAGTTGTGCTTTGACCTCTATAAGTGTGTCATGCATGACATGCATGTGCACACACACACACTTTTTTTTTCAAGACAGTGTCTCACTATATAGCTCTGGCTGTCCTGGAACTCACTGCATAGAACAGACTGGCCTCAAACTCAGAGATCCACCTGCCTCTGCATTGAAAGTGCTGGGATTAAAGGCGAGCACCACCACACCCAGCTAATAATAAAAATTAAAAGACTAAAAAGTGGGCTGGAGAGATGGCTCAGGGTTTAAGAACACTTACATTCTTGCAGAGGACCTGAGTCCTGTCCTCAGCACCCTTATGATCTACAGCCAGCTGTAACTAGAGCTCTAGATGATGTAACCCCCTCTTCTGGCTTCTGCAGGCACCTGCACTCGCTCGCACATACCCTTCCCCCCCCCACATATACACATAATTTTTTTTAAAGGCTGGAAAGTAATCCACACAGACACTATTCTACCCAGTGCCATGACTACCAGATCCCCCATCTTTTTTCTTCAGTGCTGGGGGTGCGAGTCAGGGTGTTGTACACACTAGGCAAGTGCTCACCAGAGTTACCTCCCCAGCCACTACACCCTCCACCCCTCCATCACATCCCCGTCATCACCTCCACCATCTCCTTACACCACCATCTCCAGCCCTCCACCACTCCCACCCCTCCATCACCTCATTAACGTCACTACCGATGCCCCATAGCATGGCCACCAGTATTGACACTGCTGTTGGCGCCTCCTTCCCGAGTCTCTCTTACAGGCTGTTTGTACACTCTGTCTACCATCACCTCCTCCTCCGGGAAGCACTGCACTACCACTGGCCCACCTAGCTTGCTTAGTTTAAGGACTGTGGACAATTTGAGCCTTCTCCAGGCCAGGTGGTGCGGCAGGACTGCTGGGGTGGTGATGGGAAAGGACACATGCTGGTGACTCCAATGCCACGACTGCAGCTGTAGGTCCTGGGCAGGCTGGCCTCTCACATGGGTGTCCCTGACCATCTGGAGAGGACCCAAAGATGCCCAGAGACTGGGTTGCTGCAGTGGCCAGTGGTACGAGAGGCTGGTGGGAACTGCCCCTTCTCTGGTAAGTGCTGGCATGAAAGGGGTCTACATGAGTAGGGAGGGCCTGCCTCACATCTTCATTTGAGCCCAGAGAACCCAGGTCAGGGTATGTCTAGGTACCCTGGGGGTACATGAGCCCAGAACCCAGGATGGAAACAACTCTGCCTTCTAGCCTAGGCCAGGGTTACGCCAGTAGCCTAGGGCCACTAAGACTTTTGGCTTCCTCTGGGGCAGTAGGAACACTATGTTTACCCCAAACTACTCAGGTGTCACACAAGTGATCAGTGGCCAGGAAGTGAAAAGCCAAGCCACACCCACACTTCTGTGTGCCTTTCCCCTAGAAGCACAGGTTCTGGGCAAGGTGGCCTTGGCTTGTATCTGCTAACACTGAAGATAACAATGAACTCTCCCATTCTTGGGGCCCCACAACGTTCCCACTGGTCAAGCATATGAAAGTGGTATCCTTGCCCTGCCCTGCTCTCTCCCTCGTCTCCCTCAAAGACCAGAAAGTGGGGTGGCAGAAGAGCAAGAAAGTGCAGGACCTCTCCAGTCTGCTTCCCACCCTCCCACTGCCCTCAGACTCTGCCATTGCCTCTCCCTCCAGTCTTAGAGAGCTGCAGTCCAGCAGGCACCAGATTCAGCTGACATTCTCTAGATGTCTAGAGTGATGAGCACTCCTCTGAAGACACCAGGCCTCAGTAGGCCCATAGGCTTATACTGTATGCAGAAATACCCATCTCCAATGGATACACACCCAACCCGGCACATGTAGCACACACAACACAGTGTTAGCTGCACACACACACACACACACACACACAACCTACCTTGCCTCACAGAGACATAGCGGTGGTTGGCAGCCACCAGTACCACCTGTGGGTGACTTTG